CTCCAGTTACTGCACAAGGTGTGTAACCTTCCCTTCTTTGAGGGTCCCCGTGGGTGCTCCACTTAGGGGTCTATGCAGCAGTGTTCCTGTTTGGCAGTGGGTGCTCCCTGATGCAGGATTGGATGTTGGACAGGACCACATGTCCAAATCTAGTGCCTGAATCCAGAAAGGTTTGAATTGCGTAATGTGCGAAAGTATTGGCTGAAGCCCATGTTGCTGCTCTGCAGATAATGTCCATGGGTAGATCCTTCAGGAAAGCAGTCATGGTAGATACTGATCTTGTGGAGTGCACCCGTATGACTGTCGGTGGCTGTCTGTTTCTGAGAGTAAGCCAACTGTATGCATATAGAGATCCATTTGGATATTCATTGTTTGGAAACAGTTTGACCCCTGGACCTCTCCAGGGTTCTGTATCCCTTTCCAAAAATATCACCATACAGGTGGGAAAAAATGGAATACCCTTGTATGGATGGGTGCATCCATGATATAGCTGCCAAATGTATGTTGATGGAACTAATTGATAGTCCTGTGTCCTGCACGTGGAGGATTACTCTAGTATGTCCGATAACCCTGCCCTGTATGGATCCTGTGCATGAACTGAATTCCAGGCTGCAAATCGGCCCCACTTCTGCAGGTAAGTCCATCTCATAGCAGGTCTCCTGGGTTGATCAAGACATCTCTGAGCCTTCCAGACAGCGTCAGCTTGCTGTCAGAGCCAAGAAGCATCCAGACTCACAGGTTTAGTATGTGGAGTCTGGGGTATGGTATGCGCCCTTTGTCTAGAGTTAAAAGAGCTCGTACCAGGGGAAACTTGTACGGGTGACGTGTGCTGAGCTGCAGTATGGTAGGGTACCAAATTTGTCTCTGCCAATTGGAGGCTACTAGTATGACCGTTGCTGCATCCTGTTTGATCTTCAGTACCATTTGTTGTATGAGATGTATAGGTGGAAATGCGTATGCCAATGGGAAGTCCCAGCATACTACAAATGCGTCAGAGATCACGGTCCAATGCCCTCCCTGGGACAATATAGAAGGCATTTGGAATTGATGTGCGTTGCAAGTAAGTCCACTATCAGATAATTCCATTTCCTGAAAAGGTTGCTTATGATGGATTCGTTGATCTCCCATTCATGGTTCTGTGGGAATTGTCTGCTGAATGCATCTGCGCTAGTACACTGTCCTTGCCTGGCAAATGTATTGTGTTAGGCATGATGTTGTGTATAATACACCACTGCCATAGTTTCATTGCTTCTGCACACAGGCTGCGAGGCCCCATGCCCCTGTCGGTTTATGTAATGTTGTAGCGGCATTGTCCAACATTATTCTCACAGTTGTGTTTTGTATGTGCGCAAGCAGTTGGGAGCATGCCCTCCTTCCTGCTCTGAGCTCCAGAACACTGATGTGAAGCTGGGACTCTTCGCGTGTCCTGAAACTTTGTTTGTATCGTTTTCTCTTGGTTCTAGACAGCTGAATTCCCATTGTGCGTGGAGTTGCCCTGTAGTCTTCAATATCGACAGGACTTCCTTGGGGAACCTGGACAGTTGCAGCCATAGACTTTGGAGGGCATAGATCTGGCTGCTCTATCTGCTGCATCCAATGCTGCGTGGGAGATTAGAGCCTTCTGTCACTTTTGATTCAAATTGTTCCTTTATGTCTTCTGGTATGTACTGAATAAAGGAATTGAAGGCTTTGAATGTATGCTAACAGAGCCAGAACCGCAGATTTGCTGAAAAGAGAGCCCAAAGCTTGGCCAATGGCTCTACGCTTCATTTTGGGATCACTGCTTCTCTTTGAACAGGATCACTTATCCCACTTTATGCTACCCTTTTAGGGGCAAGCATTGTCAGCCTCCTTGCCTGGAGGTCTTTTATTGATCAATGACAGAGCATCAGCAGGGGAGCTGGAGCGTTTTATGGTCTGCTCCTGGTCATGCTTTCTAGCATGTCCCTCCACGGGAGTGCTCCTCTTGCCCTCCATCCCAGGGGAAGACTCTCAGGGGGCAGGGATTGAGTAAGGCTGCAGTTCAGGCACAGTATTGTCCATAAAGAGGATTCTCCTCTGTAAATCTCTCACCCTCTTAGATCTGGGAGCGAGTTTCTGGCAGCGTGGGCAGTGACTTACTGGGTGGTCCTGCCCTAGGCAGTACAAACACTGTTCATGCCTGTCTGCTGCAGAGATAAATATCCTGCATCTTGTGTGCCTTTTGAAACCACATGGTGCTGGCATGACAGGATTTGCCTGCTTGTAGCGCCCGCACACCGCTTGTACTTTATCTTCTGTGCTTCTCTTTTTTTTCCCCCCTTCCTCTCTTCCCGGTATTATAAAAGGTTTTCAAGGTTTACTTGCGATCAATGCTGGCCATGGTTGAGAAGGAACTCAGAGAATGGCTGCTAGCGCGTGTGCAACTGTCCGCTTGAGTGACTGCGCAATAGCGCAGCACGCACTGGAAGCCGGGGGACTGCTACCAAAGATCTCCGGGCTGCATGCACAGTGGCGCTGACACACCTAAGTGGAGTACCACAGGGACCCTTGAAACAGCAGCATCAGTTATGATTGTCACAGTTAGTCAGTGAGAATAGGGATGTAATAGTGTGGTCGATTAACCAATTAGCAAAAGCTTATTGGTTAATGCTATAGACAACACATGTTCTTCCCCTTCCCCACACCAGTAAATTTTCTAGCAGGCTGGCCAGCAGCCTGACAGTTCCAGCTTGCCAGTCCAGAACCTACCCCTACTACGCTTTAAATGCAGAGCCGCAGTAAGAGCCAGGCAGGCAGTCAGGCTCAGTCCCAACTCTCACCAGGAGCTCCGACCTCCCCTGGATAGGGGCTGCTGCCACCCTGCACTGCTGCCACTGTATCAGTTAGGAATTCTCAGGAACTTCAGTTCCTGGGACTTCTCTTTGGATTGTTCTGCTATTAACAGCTGAGTTGTGTAGATAGTCGTCAGGAAGTCCTTGTTTTCCCTTAAGATGAGCTGCCAATACAGAAAAACATTTGTGAATACTCATGGAACAGCAGTGAATCCAAATGACAGGATCCGGAGCTGACCATGCCAACGTCCACCTTGAACCTCAGGAACCTTCTGTGATTTGGGTGTATCTTGATATGGAAGTAAACATCTTGCATTATCAACCACATCCTTTTTCTGAGAAAATGATGGTTGCAAGTGTAGCCATGTAAAATCTTGATTTGGAAATCAAGCAGTTGAGGTATCAGAGATTCAATATCAGTCTTCCAGCCTTCAGTCTTTTTGGGAACTAGGAAGAAGCTCAAGTAAACTCAGAGAAGTCTGAGATTAGTTCCACAGTTCATCTCTGCAGTACGAAGTTGACCTCTAGTTGGAGGAGGTTGTCAAGTGAGTGTTTCATGCATGTGGACCAATGAGTAGGGAAAAATTACATGAATTTTCTGTGTTGGCAGGAAGAGTCTGAGGTGGTCCCTGAAGGGTCCCTGATAGGCGAAATGGGCATTGGTGTATGGAGTGGTTGACAGCTTTCCAAGGACACTCAAACACTGTTAATGTGGTAGTTTATGTGGTTTATTGTGCTGATGGCTGGGCAGTTGACATAGGCTGATGTGGCTGGGGACCTTAGGGTGCTTTTAAAGATACTTGTAGGCATGTGTTGGTATAGCTGTGGGGCCCTGTAACAATATTATTGGGGTGGGTGGTAAAATTTCCTCTTGGGTGTTACTATGTAGGTATCCAGAGATCTTAGAATGACTCAGGTGTCTTTCAGGGAGTATAGTGACTTGTCCATATTCTGATTAAAGAGGTGCAATTCATTGAATGGGAACTTTTTTTACGGTGTTTGGCACCTCCCTATGGAGGCCAAAAGGATTCTCACCTCACGACAATTCTCCTTTCCAGGAAAACGGAGGATGTAACTGTGGAATCCACTGCTGCATGAAGCATAGATCTAGAGCAGTGGTCCCCAACCAGTAGACAGGGATCTACTAGTAGATCTTGGAGCCTGACAGGTGATGACTGGTTTGGCTGGGAAGCTATCAAGCACTAGCATTTCAGTTGTCCCTGCACCCACTGTTATGCTGCTCCTGCCCTCTGCTTTGGAGCTGTCCCCCAGGAGTCTCCTGCTTGCTGTGCAGGGTGTGGAAGGAAGAAGAGGGGAGGCGCTGATGTCAGGGTGTCTCCCCTACCCTCACTCCTATAACCCATCTCCACACAGAGAGAAGGGAATGGAGGGGAACTGGCAATGCAAATAACACACGCACGCAGTGTCTGCCATTACAAACTGTCCTTCACTCATCTCCTGACCCAACGCATACATGGGTGGGTGTTTTTACTTCTTTTACTGCTTGCAAAGTGTGTTATTTTTGGTTTTTGACTGGTCTATGAAGTTCATAATTTTCATTTTTCTCTTATGTTTAAATTAAATTCTTTGAGTAGTGAGTTCTAAAATGCCTAACCTGCTGTGGCTAGATTACTCCTATAGTAATTGTTGCTCCTGGAAGTGGCTGGTATGTCCCTGCAGCTCCTGAGAAAGGCAGAACAGGGGGTCTCCACATGCTGTCCTTGCCTGCAGACACTACATCTGCAGTTCCCACTGATCAGTAAAATGGGGAACTGTGGCCAGGCACATGTAGGGACCACCAAACAGTACTACTTTTAAAAGCTCCAGCTTTGGGCACAAGGTGCATAACTCTCAGCAGAACAGAATATTGGACTACAACTCAAAGAAGAAGCAAGTTTCGTGAGTATACTACCACCATTTCAATTCTGATAGATACTGCCCCAATTTCTTGCTGCTTTCTCTACCCCACTTCATTAAATATTGATCTCTTGAACAGTGATCCCATCAGGTTAAAAAAAATAGATGGCCAAGAGATTTTTAACAGATTAGCCAATTCTATTTTTAATACCTCCAATCTTTATATAGCATGACTAAACAAATGTTTGCACTTTCTTGAAAGCTCATGGTAATGATATATGTAGGCAAGATGCCTGACCCAACTTTATTCCAAATAATAGCTTTATTGACCTCCTTGAGTTGGTCTGTGCTGCCCCAGGATGCTGAACGCTTGTGAGATCCTTTCTTCTTTTCTAAATATTCTTCAGCCCAAGCACTCTCTGTCTGTAACAGGAAGATTAAAAGATTAACTTACAAATATATGATTACTCTTGCCAAAAACAAATTAAAAAAATTAGACGCAAGTTATTCCATAGGATAGCATGAAATTATGAATTCCTGGATGCAGACACTGCTGGAAAGAAAGAATGCCCTCTATGGTGACTCTGATATTCCTCCAAGTAATCAGTAAGAAGATGTCACCTCAACCACTCCTTTAATCCACATAGTAGGTCTCTCCCTTTTCATATGAACACTTATCCCAAATATAACAAAAGTATTAATTCTATTTTAGTTTCACCAAAGACACGGGGAAAAAATTGGTCCATTAGATTTAAGTGGGTACAAGTCCCATTAACTTTAGTGCTCAGACCAGGGATTATATTGATTCTATGTGTTAACAGATGTTTCTAGTACTATTCAAGCATGTCACTAAAGGCCTCATCTACTTTTCAGTGTCAGATTAATATAAAACACCTTGCATCAATCTAAATTTTGTCAGTGTCCACATTACTGCCTGTCTCCCACCAATATAACTGCCCTACTATAGTGACATAATCCCACCACCACAAGAGGCATGGGGCTAATGTTAGTGTAGTTTGGGCCAATGCAGGGTACACTGGCTATTGGCTCATTCTTCTCAACTTTGCGACTCCACACTAGAGCCAAGAAATTGAGGACAGCTTGGGTCACAGCTGGGGCTGTGAGCCCGGAAGGATAGAAGGGCTTCCCTGCCCCAAGCTAAACTTCTGACCCTGAGCTGGACTGCTGCCTAGGCTGTGGGCATATAGCTCCCTGTCAGAAACAATGTGTGTCAGCTACCAAAATAAAGGTTCTCTTTAAATCCAAAGAAGAACGCAGGACCAGTGCATGGCTGAAACTGGAGCCAAAAATCTGGATGGCACAGGATCTAGCAAAATAATTATATCCATGTGTTACCCCCATCTGCAGCCAAATGTAACTCTCAGCCAGCAAGTAGAACAGAAGGGTTATTGGGTCCCAGGGACACAGAGTAGCTCAGACTTCTTGTTACAGGAACCAGGAACATTCAGTACAATCCATCTTGGGAATGTGGGGCCCCAGAGCCCGAGCTCTGGGGCCCTGCCCTGGGCCCCCAGGCCTAGGCTCCCTTCTTCCTCAGCCATCCGAAAACTAACTCACACGTAGCAACTGTTCACGGTCCCCCAGGCTGCCCCACCTCCTACTTAGCTTAGATTCCCAAACAAAGTGTTACCTGACTGAATTCTCCACCTAGCTCAGGTGACAGGCCGGGCTGGGCCACTGCCTACATACTTCCCCTCAGGAGCTGTCCCCCAGGGATACTCTCTCACACTGGGCACCACACACACATACACACAGAGTCACTGGAAAGCAGCACAGAACAGTAGGAATCATATAAAGCAGGACAAAGCAAATGCAAACAGTAAATGCAAAAAACAGTGAACACAGTGGACTACAAGCGTGAACAAAATCCCCACAATGTCACACCATGCTTTAGTTCTCAAAACTGACAAAGGAACCAGACTTGGTTTTGAGCTGTTGTGGCCTTGTCAGAATCAGTAGATTCTAAGAAATCAGACATGCAGGGCACTACTAACAGTGGCTTTTTCTTTGCCTTCCTCCTTGGAAGCAGCACAGCTCGAGTGAAAAACATGGCTCTCAGTTATGTAACAGTCGGTAGGGATATTGACATGTAGTTGGCTACATGATTAAATGATAAGCCTAGGCTTATTGGTTAATCTTGTCGACTATATGCACTCCACACCCCCTTGCTGCCTCCATGTCAGAAGTAGTAAGGGAGCAAAGTGGGGAGTGGGAGCTGCTGCTCTTGAGGAGCTTGCTTCAAGTAGGCTCTCCATGAGCACTGGATCCGCCCTCTCCCCCCATCCCCACCACACGCTGCTGCCTCAGAGAGAGACAGCGGCACAGATGGTGAGGGGGGCAGGCTGGAGCTGACATGCATGGGAAGCCAGCTTTCAAGCCGGCTCCCTGCATGTGCCAGCTCCATGGACCCACCTACCCCTCTGCTTGCTGCCTCTGTCTCTATAGGCTGCCTACAGAGGCAGCAAGCAGGGGCAGACAGGAGCTGATGCTGGAGAGAGCCAGCTTCTAAGCCAGTTCCCCCCCCATCACCAGCTCCATGATGCCATGTGGCACCCCCCCAACCCACGCTGCTGCTGTGGACCAGCCTCTGTACATGGGGAGCTTGGCCCCCCCAGTCGACAGGGTGCTGCTGCGCCTCTATCAGAGGCAGCAACGCAGGGCAGCAGGCAGCCATTCTGCGCAGAGAGATGGTTTTTAAACTTGCTCCACTTGTGGACTAGCACCTGACTGCGGCCCTGTGCTGCTGCCTATTAAATTACACCATTTCCAACATCCCTAATAGTCAGCCCACCCTTCTTTATCAACAATAGTACCTTTAAAAACTTAAGTGCTTGAGTAGCAGGATCTGCAGCTAGACCCACTGTGAATTTAGATTTCCAAGAACTTTTAAGGTGTTTTGGCTTGCTAGAGGAAATTACATGAGGCAATACTGGCTTCTTAGACACTGGATCTAGAGGGCGTGAAACTTCAAGGAAAAGCATTTGCATCCTCTTTCTGCCTCTCCTTCCAAGTTCTGGGTGTAAAAAATCCAGCCAACAGAACATCCAGAAGAAGACAGGTACTCCCCTGAGCACTTCAGGCACCTAATATTGTCATCCAATGCTTGGAAGACAACTGGGCATGAAGCACATCTCTTGATTCCCGGTTTCTACTTTCTTTTCAATTCTACCATCATTTGGAACTGAACTACTGATTCAACTATAACCATACTAAATAATTAGCGAAGAAAGAAAACAACCTCAGATCTGAACAGATCAGAGCAGTTCATTTCAGTCCAGCAGAGTGGCTGACATGATAGAAGGCACTGCATGCTTTTATACAGAACATTTAAGGACACTGAGGAGAAGGGCAAGAAGGGGCTTACAACTGCTCTCGTGGATATTGCCCCAAGACAGTTCTACTGGTAAGCCCCAGTACAATACCCATTAGAAAGACCATAGCCACTCAAAGAACACCTCCCTCCATCTAACTGAAGATGTAGCAAATTTTTAAGATTTGGTCATGTACTTTCAAAAATGGTTTGGTGCACAAATCACTACAAATCTTGAAGGAAAAAAAGTCAGAAAAAAAATTCTAACTATGTCATGCTCCAAATAATATGAAAAAATGGTTTCCTTCTCCTTTAACACAAGCATCAATGACTATTCTTGGAGCAGCAAGAGATTCTAATGCTCTTTATAGATTCCCTGTTCCACAGGGTTCCCACAACCACCCAAGTAAGGATGTTAAATAGCGATTAATTTAATAATTGTGTAACCATATCAAATTTTAGTCATTATTGTACACAATTTTCAATAGCCCCTGGGGGCGGGGCCAGCAGCAAATGCACTCCTAGCCACACTCCCAGGGAGCCCCCTGTCACCTTTTTATTAGATGCAGCAGTGCAGGGTGGCAAGCGGGAGCCAGTATGCGAAGGGAGCCTGGACCCGTCATGGACAGACACTGTTCCGCAGCAGTCTCCTCTGCCCCCACCGCCCAGCCTGGCTACCTCTTATATTGGCAGGAGCATTGGGGGGGGGGGGGGGGGGGGGCGGC